CAAGGCCAGGCTGGATGGGGATTGGAAAAACCTGGTCTAGTGGAAGGCATGGCAGGGGGGTTGGACCAGAAACCCTTCCAAGGTCCCTTCTAAGCCAAACCATTACGTGATTCTCTGAACCGGATCATGAGTTGGGTCAGCCCGTTGGCAATTGGTGCTTAAAGATGTTAAGGGAGCAAAAGAAAATTGGAAACCCAAAACCACCCACTCTGAAGGAAAGGAAGGGATGGGACAAGGAGGTTGGTGTGTCCAAGTGACCTGGAACACAATATCCCAACCTCCTGCAGAGGATGACTGGGAGGGATGGTGGTTCCTCCTCCTCTTGGATGCTCAGCTGTATCTCCCCTTTCCCAGAGAAGTGGGAAATGTGGCTGAGCCCCACTTGAAACCCTGCATCACCCACTTCATCTTTCAGCTCAAATCCCTAAAGGCTTCAGATCTTTGAAACCTGGGGGAGAAATCCTTGTAATCACCATATCACAGAATCATTTAGGCTGGAAAAGACCATCAAGTCCAAACTTTGAGCAATCACCACCTTGTCAACCAGATCAGAGCGCTGACTGCCACATCCAGTCATTTCTTGAACACCCCCAGGGATGGTGACAACTGTTTCCATCTTAATCTGTTCAAAGCACTCCAGGCCACAGAACAGAACAAAAGAGAAGAAAATAAAAGGAAAAAAGAAAACTAAACTCAACTACATGAGCGAATCCTCCACTGACGAGTTCCTTTCTCCTGAGCTGGCATTTCTCTGACAAATGTTGGATTATCTTGTTCTTTACTTATTTATAGTGCTGGAGGGGTAGGATTCTCCCTCAAGAGGCACTGCAAAGTTTTCAGGAAGAAACATCAGAGTTTCCCCAGCAGTGCCAGACACAAATCATTATTTGCAGACAGGTGACTTTTGTTTTGCACACTTGCAGCAGGATTTGAGAAGAAAACTCTTCAAAGTGGGTCAGTGTTTCATTCCCCCACTGGGGGGTCTGTAAGCTCAACTCAGAGGGTTCTCTGTTCCCAGAAATGTGTCTTAAAAGTGGTTCTGTCTCTCCAGCAGGAGACTGGAGTCTTCTGAAGGAGTTTATAGAATTCTAGAATATTCCGAGTTGGAAGGGACACACAAGGATTGTCTAGTCCAACTCCTGGTCCTGCACAGGACACCTCAAAAATCCCGCCCTGTGCCTGAGAGTGTTGTCCAAATGCTCCTTGAGCTCTGAGAGCTTTGGGACCACGACCACTTCCCTGGGGATCCAGCTTCTCTGGGAAACCTGTGCAAGGGCCTCGCCACCCACACAGGGAAGAACTTCTTCCTGATATGCAATCTAACACTTAATGGGTTAAACTTATTTTCAGTGGGAAGCTATTCCCCCTTGTCCTGTCACTCCTTGCAAAAATTCCCTCTCCATCTTTCCTGTCAGGCCCTTCAGGCACTGGAAGGCTGCACTGAGCTCACCCTGAAGCTTCTCTTCTCCAGGATGAACATTCCCAATTGTCTCAGCGTTTCCTTGTAGGAAAGGTGCTCCAACCCTCTGATCATCAACCCCAGAAGTCTTCTGCTGCCTCTGTGCAAGGTCTGTGACATGAGGGAATCCCATTTTTTTTGGTGGCCACATCCAGTGGACCATGGAAAGAGGTTGGATGCAGGAGAAGCATCGCTGCCAATTCTCAGTATGACACTTCATCCATCCCAACTCCTCCACGGCAAATCCCTCATTTCTTTCCCAGCAGAGGGAGGCTGCGAGGAGAGAGGACACCTCCCTCCAGGATTTTTAATGGATGACCAACCTCAATGTCACCAGGAGCAACCAAAAATTTAAGGCCAGCAAATCACAGCCCTTGTGAGCTGCGCTCCCAGCAAAGCCGCGGGAGATAAGGGGGAGGAGTGAAAAGGAGAATCAATAAATCTCAACCTCATTCACAATGATCTGGAGCTCTTATTAAGTAAATTAATTTAAGTTAATTTAACTCGATCATGACTCCCGATCACAGTGATTTAGTGAGGGGGAAATTGCATTAGGAAAGGCCACACTCACCAGATAGAAGAACGGAAGAAAATTAGATCCACTTAGCAATGTGAATTAATATGGAAATAGCAGGTGTAAATTTCACCTTATCAAGAGAGTGAAAATTATCTTCATAAATTTGGAGAAATAGGTCCCGAGTTGCTTATAAATCTATTTAAAACAAAAATATTACAAAAAGTGGAGTAAAATTAATTTAAAATATACTCCCACCTATCGCCTCGAAGAAAAGCCAGCAGCAGGGCCCAGTTTTATCCAACCCAGCAAGAAGGGGAGGATGGAATTCATTCCCAAGGGACTGACATCATGTACCTCCAGCAACGCTCCCTGTCACTCATTTCCCAAAGCCACATCCCTCTTCATCTTAGTCTGGTGATTTGAGGATTTATTGGCAAAAAGGGCGACATCCCGGATGTCCCAGCAAAATAAAACCCTGGCACATTACTTCCAGATACCCAAAAACCTGGATTTTGTGGAAGAAATTGCTCCTTAGTGCCAGTTGGGAGTCAGTTTGGGAGTAGCACTGGAGGGCAGCACCACCAGTTGACATCCCACTGCTGGCTTAATGGGAAGAGGATATTAAAAATATCAAATTATTATAAAAACATTATAATTATTGAAATGAAAAATAGAAATATTAAAAATCATTAACTACTCAGTATGAAAAATAAAACTGAGGTGACCAAAGGGGTGTCCCACCATCACCAGAGCTTCTTCTTGCTTTGGGAAGAGCAAAGAAAATCAGGAAAAAAGCAGATCGTGGTGTGTTGTTTGTGACAGATTCAAGCTGATGATAGGAACGATGGAGCAAAAAATCCTGTAAAAACTCCAGGAGAAGCATTTGCCACGTGCTTCCTCCAGACAGGCCGGATGATTGATCACCCCCAACAAAGGTAATTGGGAGATGGAGATTTATGGCTTCTTTAAAACATAATTGTTTTAATTTGCTGATGGCATTTTATCAAGATTTGTCTGAAGCGGCTGTAAGATCTAAACTACACCGATTTAATGAAGTCGGAGATTAATGCAGAGAAAATGATCCTACAAGTGGGAGCTCTCAGCCAATCGCGGCAGAACGAGGTCATTCCTTGGAAAATCACCACTGGGTTCAGCAAGAGCTACCACACAGATCCCAGATGTTCCAGCTCTGAATTCCATGCCCGAAGCTTATCTCTGCCTTGATTCTCAGCATGGATCCTCCATCCAGATGTGGAGTAACAAGGTGTGAGGGAAGAAGCTGAGTCCAACATCTGGAGGATGAGCTGTTTATTAATTAACGCTCAAAGTCACAGAATCATTTTAATTGGGAGGAACCTTCAAGATCATCTTGTTTCAACCTTCTGCCATGGGCAGGGACACTTCCCAATATCCCAGGTTGCTCCAAGCCCAAATCCAACCTGGCTCTGGACACTTCCAGGGTGGTAAGGCCTTGGCACAGGTTTCCCAGAGAAGCTGTGGCTGCCTCATCCTTAGAAGTGTCCAAGGCCAGGTTGGAGCAACCTGGGATAGTGGAAGGTGTCCTTGCCCATGGCAGAAGGTTGAAACAAGATGATCTTGAAGGTTCCTCCCAATTCAAATGATTCTGTGACTCTGAGCCTTAATTAATAGAAAACAGCTCATCCCCTGCAGGGGGATGGAACTCAAGGATCTTAAACGTCCCTTGCTAGCCAAACATCCTGTGATTCCATGAAAATGCAGGATTGTGGAGCAGGCAGAAAATTACACAGTTTGTTTCTGGAAAGGGAAATGGAGAAATTTGGACCCAAGGATGTGCAAATGGAAGTGGCAACCCAGAAAAAAACCTGGGGATCTCAGGGATGATTGCCCAGGTGGGAAAATACCACAGGCAAGAGTAGAATGTGAAGACAAAGGAGGAGGTGGTGCAGGTAAGGTTGACCATGAGCCCAAAAGGATCCCAGCTTCCACACTGGAAGAAGAACTTTGAGACCGGTAGAGTACAGGGGATGAGGAGTTTCTCAACCAAGAGCTTGGAAAACAGACAAAATAATTGACTCAACCATTTTACCCATCTCTCTGCTTATCCCATACTTTGCTTCATCACCCTGAATTCTTCCAAAACCAATCCTCCCTTCAGATACCGATTTGGGAATCGCAAACTTCACTTTTAAAGGGAAATATCAGGCAAAGTCAGGCTTTAAAAACAATCACCACTATTTTTGTCCCTCCACAGCTCAACTATAAAAGCCACCAATCCTCAGGGCATTGATGGGGAATGACTTTTGGAGGAAACCACCTGGAGCAGGGAGAACAAAGCTGGAGAAGAGCAGCGCAGGCTCTCTTTGCCCAAAATACTGCCCGTGACTCCTGGCATTTCAGTGGAAGGACAAGCTATTCCTGAACTAAAACCAGACGAAATCTGTATTTTTACCAAACCCATCACTTTGAATCGCATCTTGTTCTACAGAATCAATTATTTTAACGATCTTCCTGCTTTACACAAGCTCCGGGTCTCATCTTGACCTCTGAGATGCTCCCTGGAAACATCTCCACCTCCATGGATTTAGGAATATTCCAATATAAGTTTATGGTGCCTTCAGTGCCTCCCTTCTCTAGGCAGTGACAAAATATTTCCGGATGTTTCACCCATCTAGATAATTGGGAAAAAACGAGTTTGGGATAGCACCTACATCCTAGGGGAAGTTTGGAGCATTCAACATGCTCCCCTGCATCACCAACATCCACACTTTTATTCATCCTCTTTTCAGCTTATTTAACTGCTCCATGGAAACAATTCATTCCAAGAGGGAATACATAAGAAGCAAAAGGCATAAGCTGTTGGCACTAGCTCAGGATAACACAATTCCAAATATGATTTTACACTTTAAGTCAATAAACTCAGAGTAAACCAAACAAAGAGAGAAATTAAACAGTGAAGATGCAACAGAAAAACACGGAGCCAACGTGGGAGTTCCCGTGGCTCCTACATCCCAACCAACTGCATTCCAGGGATGGAAGAGTTACCTGGATGTCACAGGGCGCCTGGTTTTCCAGGTGGGAATGGGGCCGGTGAAGGATGATAAGGCTGGAGACACCACATTCTTCTTCACGATCCTGTAGCGCGTCTTTATCACTTTGTTGGCTGGGGGGCTCCTTACCAAGTGGAAGTTGGATCCTAAGAGAAAAAAACATGGAAAAACAGGCTTGAAATTCAGGTGTGGATGGGCACAGGAGGGATCTCACTGACACTATGACAGAATCATGGAATTTTTAAGGTTGGAAAAGACCTTTAAGATCATCAAGTTCAATGGCTGTTGGTCCCACAACCAACTTAAGTCCTACATCCAACATTTCAGCACCTGAAAAAAGGGGTGAAGTTTCAGTAACAGAAAGGTCTTGATGTGCTTGGGACTGGCTTCACCACCCCACCAGCAAAACACTACCACAGGAATCACAGATTCACCAACACCTTGATCCCAACATCCACATTGGAAATAAATGTATGTCTTTAATCCTTGGCATTTTCATCATATCCTTCATCCCCTGAAGTTGAAGTCCAGGTTGGACAAGACTTGGAGCAACTTGGGATAATGGAAGGTCCCTTCCACAGACAGGGAATTGGATGAGCTTTAAGCTCCCTTCCAAACCCTACCCGTTCCTGGATTCTCTGTGTTGCAGGATGATCTACATCCCAGGTTATTCTGCAGAATGTTTCATGCAATTAACAGTTCTACGTTTGACTGTGGTTTTCCTCCACAAGCCATATTTTTTTTTTTTCCCCCAAGCTTTCAGGAATGCACCTAATTGGCCGACTTTTATAACATACAGCTGTAACTGCCCAGATAATTAAAGCTGACACTCCATGCTGAGCCTCGGTCTCTGGGTTTTATAACTGATTTAAAGGGCCGGCTGTTTTTCTTGGAGAACCTCTCATTAAAATCATGGAGAGGTTGGGAGGGGAAAAGTGGGAGTATTATTTCCACTGAAAATGTTCGACCCATCCCCATGTTTATCTCTGTGAAGGGAGGGAGAATAACATGGATTCCCAGGTAAACTAGGAAAAATAAGGAAATACATTTTAGAGCTGACACCATTCCTTAGAAAGGACGGAAGAGCTCCCCCATTGCCTTGCAACAGTGGCAACATCAATTCACAGCTTTACAGTTTCATATAGGGAATATTTTCCTTCTTGAGCATTCCAGCAAGTTGATGACTTGTGTTGGCTTTGGGAGGGATCAGGCAACACAAATTTCCATTCAGAAATTCAGTAAAAAAGTTATAACTCCTGGTGATGGAAAAAGGCAAAAACCAGGCTCTGCCATGACAGAAAAATCACTAGAATTTTTTGTGGTTAAAGATGACGCTCACAATGTTCCGCAGAATGAACCCATGGGATAAATCATGGAACTAAAGGATCCTCCAAGTTCTCTTCCGGTAGAAACAATTTGATGATTCAATGACTGGAGGAATTGCAGCCACTTTAGAGGTGAGGCACTTCAGAGGTCACTTTAGAGGTGAGGCAAGAAGGAAGGGAGGAAAGAACATGGAAAGCAAACGGGATCTCACTGCTCTTTCCCTGTCTCAGGATTTTTTTTGTAACAGATCAAATTCTTCAGAGCGGTGACCAAACCTCTGCGTGGGCTTTTAAAGCCTTTGCAGGGTTGAAGCTCTAATTACAATTAAAATTGCTCCCAAGTGCCTGCAAACTTGGAGTTTTTTCCTTCAGGGAACTGTATTTAGGACAGGAAAATGGGGGCAGCAAAAGAACAGAGGTGCTAACCCCTGCAGGGACCACCACGCACACAATGAAATCCCAGCTATGGTGATGGTGGGACTGTCCTGAAATCATGGACTCGTGGAATGGTTTGGGTGGAAGGGACCTTGAAGACCACCCAGTTCAACCCCCTGCCATGGGCAAGGACGTCTTTCACCATCCCAGACTGCTCCAAACCCTGTCCAACCTGGCCTTGGACACATCCATGGATGGAGCAGCCACAGCTTCTCTGGGCAACCTCTGCCAGGGCCTCACCACACTTTCAGGGAAGAATTGCTCCCTAGTACCCCACCTAAATCTGCCTTCTGTCAATTTTGTCACCCAGAACATGTGGACACACCCAACCTCTCATGGATACAGCATCAATCACATACCCAAAGGCCTTCCATCCCACCAAGGAAGGGATGAGAGCCACAATCCCACATCCTCCCCAACCAGCAACAGCACAAGTTGCCCCTTTCCCTCCTCCACTCCAACCTCACAGAATAACTAAGCTGGGAATTTGCTGAATACATAATTAACATTTTTTTGTCCCCAACACAAGCTTGAGCTGCCACCAATCAACCCAGAATTGCATCAAACTCCTGCCTGACAAGAAAGAGAGATCCCAAATTATTGCAGGCATCCCCCTCCTCCTCCTCCTTCCCCAAAACAAGCTGGCACCTGGTAAACTCTATTCCCAGAGGTAATTGGATGGTGTATTCATTCCGAAGCTGCTCCTTGGAAAGTGCCTGATGCGCGACTCCGGCATTAACCACCTCCTCAAAGAGCCTCTCCGAAGAGCTCCGTTTTCTATTATTACTTGCTAGCTGAGGGGTTTTGTGTAGATAATCATGTTATTTAGACAGGATGTTGGTTTAATTCCCTTCATTACAGGCTCCCAGGGTTGTAATTTTTTCCTCTCCGCGTGATGTATTCCCCGTGGCACATTTCACTCAAATCAAACACTTCACGCTTTTATTACAAACAATACCCCAGCGTCCCCCGTTATCAGCCCGGCGCACACATCCCCACTCCTCGCCGCGATCCAGAGGTCACTTCTAATGACTAATCGATCTCATTAGCTTTCCTAATTAAAAACTTTACTACCGCCATGGAAGACAAACTACAAAAAAACTGCTTGCATCATATTCGAATGGGATATGAGCATCATTTATCAGCCAGGGCCGCGCGCTGCTGAGCTCGGGGCTTTCTGCGGAGCCGCGAATCCCGCGGGCGCCGCTCGCGCCTCCTGTTCCCAAGGAAAAAAAAAATCCTGGTGTAAACTCTAAATGTAGAATTGTATAGGTTGGAAAAGACCTCTAAGGTCATCAACTCAGGGCTGCCAAGTTCATGGCTAAACCACATCCCCAAGTGCCACATCCACGTGGCTTTTAAATCCCTCAAGGAACGACGATTCCACCACTTCCCTGGGCAAGCCCAAGCATCCCTTTAGTGAAGAAATTTTTCCTAATATCCGAACAAAACTACCTCTGGTACAACTTAAAACTGTTTCCTCTTGTCCAATGATGACCTTGAGATGGGGAATTTATTGCCAAAATCTCTTACTAGGGTGCTCCAAGCAGGCAGGATCCAGGAGCTACCAGCACATGCATCCCTTAGGAAAGAGGTTGGATGCAAGGGTTCTTAGTTCTCTTATTTTCCTGAGAGAAGTACCAGGAATTGGCCCCCTGGGGAAGTTGAAGCAGGGAGGGCATAAAAAGAGTTTGTGCCTGGAATATTTCACCTGAAGAAGGATCTGCAGAAACCTTCTTTTAAAGGAGGCTTAAAACAAAGATGGGAAATTCCTTTGGACAAGGTCCTGGGGTGACAGGACAAGGGGGAATGTCTTCCCACTGCCAGAGGGCAGGGTTAGATGGAATATTGGGAAGGAATTCTTCCATGTGAGGGTGGAGACACCCTGGAACAGGTTGCCCAAAGAAATTGTGCCTGCCTTATCCATGGATTGGATGGGGCTTGGAGCAACCTGGTCTAGTGAAACATGTCCCAAAAAAGCCGTGTTGATGCGGCTCTTGGGGACAGAGTTTAGTGGAAGTGTAAACATTTGGACTTGGCTCTTTTCCAATCTTGATGACTATTCCATGATTCTGTGATTCTAAATCCGTGAGGCAAGAGGAAGATGATGCTGCTCAGGATGGATTAGGGAAGTCACAATAATGGTGGAGTAAATCCTGTTAAGACACTGATGGGAAAAAGGAAGTTAAACAAGCAAGGGGAACTTCAGGAGGGCAGATTCCCAAATCCAACAGATTACTGCTGGGATAGAAAAGCTTCCTGTACGGACAAGGAATGGGGAAAAGAACTAAATTAAGTCATGACCTGGGTGACAGAAGGTTGCCCATTATCAATCCTTGGCCACCACGACCCTTCCCGTGTGTCTCCATCGGGGCTCAGTGCCGAGCTGTGCCATTAATCCCGATCGTAGGCGAGACGGGAAGCAGTGAGTGACAGGTACATAGATCTTCCAGCACCTGGAAGCGAGACGGGAGCAGGGACGAATGCAAATTGGGGATCAGAAGCTGAACCTTGGATACGCTGCCAGGATTGTCCCCAGCGCTGGGGAAAACCTCAGAGATTAAAGGGAGGCAGCAGAACTACCCCAAGGGAAAAAGCAAAGCAGAGACCAAAAACCTCTGATAAAACCAAATTGCTCTTTCCAAACAGGCAAGAGAGAAAATAATAAAAGGGTTAAGGACTACTAGGATACGTGTGAAAGAGCCACCAGTATGTCTCAGCTGCTGACAAGGGTTAAAAAACTCCCACTTGGAACCCAAAGCAGCTTGAAAAAGAACTGAAAATCTCTGCCAAAGGTTTTTCTGGAAGTAAACCCTTCCCAACAGGAAGATGAATCCCTCGCCATGGGATTTGCTCCAGGTAAGGAAGGAAAGATTCAGCAAAATCCACTGTTACCCTCAAACCCCAGAAGGAAGAGGACACTCAACCAAAGACATCTCAGGTTGCAGCAAGGCCATCACACACATCCAGTGATGCTCTGGGATGGTATGGGATCAAACCTCCCTCTTTTCCATGGGAAAAGGCAACCCTGACTCAAAACAATTTGCTGCTGGCTTTCATAAGGTGGATTTTGGGATGACCAATGTCAAGGCATGGAATGAGGCCCCTACATCTGCTCCTTGTAAAATCCCTGCAAGACCATTTCCTAACGGATTTGATCCTTCCACACTGTCTCCCACCTCATGGATGAAGGGAAGGTGGTAGAGGAGCTATTCAGCATTTTAGGAAGAAGGTCCAAGGGCAAATTTGGGGGCAGCAGAGGAGTTTGCAGCCAGCAGCAACCTTGACAGCAGAAGAACCACGGGAATCTCTGACGGCCAGGATGGATCAGCCTCACTCCCGCTGCAACAGCAGATTACAGGGATTGGGAATCCCAATCCCTGCCC